TTTCTTGTGAGAGGATGGGAAGGGGAAGTGGATTTGACGATGGAGGAGATGCATAGGAAGAGGAAATATCCACTTTATATGCGTCTCCTCCTCCGTCGGATAAGGATAGGCGACGCATCTGCAATTGTAGATGTCTATGGGCAGCGGTCGCTTCGCCATTTTGGCGCATTTAGGTGGCCGCTTGCTCGTTTGCCATCTTATGTTATAAAAAAAAATTAACATTGGGATATTACTGTATAAAAAAGTTACCAATGAAAATTTTTTTCCCTATATCTAGTTATATAGTCTTGTAAATATCATATGTGTAATATTCTGACTGAATGTTACATATCTAGACTAGATAAAGTCTATATGTCAGCTTTTTGAAGGATCTAAGTTTTTTTTTCTTAAATAATAGAAAATACATCGTCTGTGATAACTATTGTATATTACAGAGTTATGTGAAATGCCCGAGGAGGATGATGATGACGAGGAGTCGGAGACGTCGCGAGCTGATGCGCTGGCGCAGCGCCTGCAGACCGCCACCAGGGACATTGGCTTGAAGATGCAATATCAACCTCTTATTAAGTAAGATAGATATTTTATTTCATACAAAATCTTTTTTCGATGTTTTCAAATTCGAAAAGATGAAAGTGTTAAAATAGAGTATTACAGTTTGTTTAGTTTTAAAAAATTGTGAATTTTAAAATGCGTCCAATAGATGGCGCTGTTCCGATTTCATTAAAAGTAAGCTATTTTTTAAAAAAATAATAAAAACAATCGCAAAACTTCACCATTAATTTGCTAATATTACTTTTGAAAACTTAATTTTGTTTTTTCACAGACATTACGAAGAAACTTTAGAGTGGCTATCAACCGATATGCCTTCACGCGCTGTATACAAGCGCGGGGTGAGCAGCTTGGCGCAGGCCACCGCGCTGGCTGTGGAGACGTACCACAAGACGGCGGAGATGCTGCTGGTGAAGACGCGAAGGTCTACTGCTGATGAAGCTGATGCTCTCACACAGTCAGTACACATACATTGTGATTAAATTAGTACTAAAGGGTGGTGAAGGGAGGGGTGGGGGGATAAGGTCACCTAAAAATTTTTAATTTTATTCATGTTATAAGTTTATTTATTAGATTTCTAGCTTTTAACAGCGATTCCATCGTCGCAGAATTCCGATCCTACCGACTATCCTATGCATTTATACCAAATTTCATCATGTAGGAATTACTTTCTAACAAACATCCATCCATCTAAACGTTCACATCCTATTTCTTACTAATATTATAAATGTGATTATTTAGGTGGATGTTTGTTAGATTTTGTAGCCTAAACTGCTGAACCCATCTCTATGAAATTTGTCACAGATGTAGAGGATAGTCTGGAAGA